GTCTTACTTCGCGACATAGAAATTTAAGGTTATTGGAAATTCATTTTGAGTCAAGTAATTCCTAAGAAAGTATTTTAAATTACCAAAAACTACAAATATCAAATTTATAAAAAACAAATCTTATTTTAATTTTTTTCAATGATAGATTTACCAATGAAATACTCACCCATTTTCCGCAATCCTATTCCTAGTATTATATAATTGTGTGTGCAAGTTTCAATTTTCACTACAAGATATTATATATTAGATAAAAAAATTTGTGCTTACTAAGTTTGCTTCTGTGTGGATGACTACATCATTACTCATAAGGATAATAGAATGAAAAAATGCTCAATATTTTGTAGATCTAGACCATAGATAGTAAGTGGAGTGAAGTAATAAAAATAAAAATAAATAGAGAAAAAGATACCAGACCCTATATGTCTTTCCTACGATTCCCTCTAACGATTGTATGCTCTTGTCATCCATTTTATATTTTTATCTATCTTGTATTTGTTAAAATGAGGACATAATTATTTTAGTTTTTGTCACAAGGGGAAAAAAAAGAGCAAATGCTCTTGTCATCCATTTTATATTTTTATCTATCTTGTGTTTGTTAAAATGAGGACATAATTATGCTAGCTTTTGTCACAAGGGAAAAAAAGAGAGCAAATGCTCTGTCCTCTCTCCTCATTGAAGAGGAGCCATCTAGTTAACAAACTAAAATCATCCAATGAGGAGCCATCTAGTTAACAAACTAAAATCCATACTCCTCAAGTCCACTACTCAACAACCAAAATCATCCATCAATACAAAGAGGAGCCATCTAGTTAACAAACTAAAATCCAAATTAACTAACTAATTAACGTTAACTCTAGCCCCAAGCAGATTACAGAATTTGGACGCATTCTTATTCAACCACTCGAAACATTTCTCCAGCAGACCACCCAATGGATTGAAGTTGCGTCATAAACAAATAACATTACCCATGGCCGCAACGTACAACAAAGACAAACGAAGTTAGATAGCTGCAACACAACGATACTCTCAAGACTAGAGAGGTCATCAAGGCAAAGAAATTACCGATTGGATCTGAAGAGCTTGAGCCTCCAAGTGAAGATAAGCGGTTGTCTCGCTCAAGTTGTTGTCCTAGCTAGCTAGTGGTAAGAAAGAAGACAAGAGAAGAGAGAAATGATAAATAAGTGGCCACCCTTTTACCGGAACCGGCTACAGCCAAGCTGCCTTTGCTAGTGGTAAGAAAGAAGACAAGAGAAGAGAGAAATGAGAAATAAGTGGCCACCTTTTAACCGGAACCGGCTACAACAGAGTTTCTTTTTAAAATTTCTCTTTTAAAGTAACTTTTTTTACCGAGGTGGGTTTATTATGTTATTGGTTGTCTTTCTTAGATAATAATGTAAATGTTGTCTTAAAATGTAAAACCATTCTAAAACTAAACTTTCACCATTGATAATTTCCTTTAAACCTAGTCGACTCATTTAGTCGCTTGTTGACTTCGTGGTCGCCACATTCCTTCAGTCATCAGCCACATTAGCCAATCTATGTTGCCCATTTGGTCAAGTCTGATTACAACACATTTGGTCCATCTTCGTTGTCATCGTTGTCGAGTCACCGGTGATCTCCAACAGCAAATCTATATCTGTCGTCTTCGTCGTTCGCTGCACATGTACCTCTGTTTTTCGTCTTTCTAGCAAGGAGAGACTGTGTAAATTGTTGTTTGGGAGAAAAAGTAGGGGTGTTAATAAAATCATAAAATATTAGTTTTAATATAATAATAATAATTATTATTATAAAAAAAAATCTTTAACACCTCTTTGACCCCACCATCTCCTTTTTTTGCCCTCTATCTCTCTTCAACCCACCATCACATTATTTCACCCAATCCAACCCCACCCTTCTATCTCTCTCCAGCCCATCATCAATCTTCTTCCAACCTGGCCCCACCCCTTCTCCCCTCTCTTCCCCCTCTCTTCCTTCCGCCCCAATTTGGGGTGCAACCCAAAACAGAAAATATGCACCTCCTTTGCTCCCCCCTTCACCTGTTTCAAATTATCCAACGGGGTGCAATTGTCTCGATTTCTGCATTTGCACTCCAAAAATACACCCCTATGCTAACCAAACAGAGTGTTAAGGAAAAATCATTTAAAATAACACAATATTCAATAATATTTCAAAACAGCTCCATAAATGTAAGAAACTCAAAATTCTTCACATTGACCACATTTTTTCATCTTAAGATGAAAATCCTACAAAAAGATAAAAGTCTTAACATGATATTAATTATTAGGGTAAATACCTTAGTTTGGCCCGAAGTAAAGCGTAAGTGACAGTTTTGACCCAATATTTCAAATAAGACATTTATGAACTATTTTTGAAATTATTGGACAAATTTAGCCTGGAACTTATATTGAACGTCAAAATTGACTGTCAACTATTAGAGCATCTCCATTGGAATTGCATTTAGAATTGCAGTATGACATGACATTCATTTGCAATTGCAATTGCATTGATGTAGATGACAATTGCATCTTTGCAAGCTTGCATATAAGAGCATCCACATTGGTATTGCATTCTCAATTGCAAAATGAAATGACATAGGTGTTTGCAATTGCAAAACCAATTGCATTGATGTGGCAACCAATTGCATATTTGCAAGCTTGCAACAAATGCAATTCCATATGCAAGTCAAAAAAGCCTACAAAAATGGGGATATCTTATTTTATATTATTTTCTTTTCTCTTTTACTTAATTTTCTATAATTTAAACATAATATTTAATTAAATTTGTAATTGCAAGTTAATTGCATTGATGTAAGTGAATGAAATGAATGTGATGTGGATTGCAAAAAATTTGAGTTGACAATAAAAAACACAAATGCAATTTCTTTTGCAATTACATTGATGAAGATGCTCTAATGCAATTATGGAATGCAAGCCACATCATCTTTTTTATTATTAAATTATTCATTAAATTTATTATTTGAGTGTTTATGTTTTAATAAATTAAATTAAAAAAATTAGTTGCAATTGCAAGTTGATTGCATTGATGTGGTGCAATGCAAGTAAGATGAGTTGGATTGCAAAAAAATGAAGTAACAATAAAAAAAACAGCAATTGCATCAATGGAGATGCTCCTATCTCTGTTAGTGACTTCAACATACTATGCTGACTAGACCCGTACACGTCACTAAGTTCTTTTTTACCAAAACACGCCATTATTATTTAAAATAAAAAAATGCAAATAAAAAAATTCAGAGAAGGGGCACGAGGAACACTATTCCCCTTCCTTATCTTCTTCTCCTTCGTCTTCTACCCAAGAATAAAAACACATAACCAGGAATCCCCTTCCCTCCCTTGCCTTCTGTCGCCATCTTTCCCCCTTCCCTCTTTCTCCCTTGACCAAATTGCCGCCATCGCCATCATCTCCGGCTGTTTCTTCTTCCCCAGGATCGCCCCGCCGCCAACTTGTTCGGCAAGGAGATTGATAGATCTGGGACAAGGAGATGGTGACGCACCATCGTCGGACTGAACACGCGCATCCCACCGCCGCCAACTCAATTGATCTCCACCCCAACTCGCTCCTGCATCGCCGGATTCAGGAAATCAATAGAAAAAAGCAAACACAGAAACCAGTTGAAGAAGAAGGCTCGACAGAAGGAGGAGATGCTGCCGACGGTGGCTGCCAGTATTCGAGACTAGTGTCTTTTGGTCCCGTCATCTCCTTCCGCTCGCTGTCGTCTTCTCCCGATAGTACATGTCGAAGAGTGGAATCGTGAATCACGTTCTGGGTTTTCCACAGCGGTGGCGGGGGGGGGGGGGGGGGGGGCTCTCTCGCCGACGAGGTCAGCCCAAACGTCTCTGCCAAGATCCGTTACAACATCGTCAGCCCAAACGTCTAGATGTCGACCCCTGAATTAGTCTCTCGTACCACCACTGTCTGCCGGAGAAGGGAGGTCGCATATGCAGGAGAGGCTGCGAAGAGATTCATATAGGGTTAGGAAGGGAGGTCCCAAATGCGGGACTTATAAAATTTTTAGTTTTGATTTTGATTTTAATTGAATATAAAATTAGAAAAAACATAAGTTAATGATGTGGTGCTCATGCATCAGCCACATAAGCTCTTAGTCACTAACATAATGGTGTTTGACCGTTAATATTAACGGTCAAAGAAAATTTTGGACCAAATTTGTCTAATAGTTTCAAAAGTAGGCCATAAATGTCTTATTTGAAAAATGGGGCCAGTACTGTCACTTACGCCAAACTTCGAGCCAAACTAGGATATCAACACTAATTATTACACGTCCTCGTATTGTCCTTGAGCATCCAAAATCAATGTGGTGATAATTGTCTTCAACTTCTGCAAAAGCATAAAAATTATGAACTTGTCTCTAGGGATGGCAACAAAACCCGAATCCACGGGTACCCACCCGACCCAACCCGGTCAACGCGGATAAAACCCATGTTGACGGGTTTTGGGCCGGGTTTGGGTTTCAACCCGCTACACTATTCACCGGGTCGGGTTGGGTTTGGGTTTAGGTAAACCCGCCCCATGGGTACCCGCCCACACACAAATAATTACTTTTTCGATATATTTAATATTCTAAATAATATATCTTCCTTAAACAACTAATATTCTTTATGTTTTTGGAGACATGTATAATTTGTTCTTTCTAATTGTTTAGAATGAAGTTGATATTATGAAGTGGAGTGAAGAAACTTAGTTGACGAGGAAGAAGCTTTCAATTAATCTTATTGTTTATAGATGTTATCTTTAATTTTGAACAATTTGTATTGATCATTTGCGGTTTGCTTGTATGCTCTAGATTGGTGTGTTTTGTATTAATAATTCGTATGAGAAGATTGATGTTAAACTTTTATTTTGAAAGAAAGTTATTATTGTAAATTTTTTACCACAAAAATCCACGGGTACCCATGAACCCGCGGATACCCTTTTTTTTTTTTGTAGAAAAATGGGACGCTAAAAGGGCGCCCCTGCCTGAAACTTTATATTAAACGAGACTGGGCATTGCCCATAGAGTCATACAAAAGCCAAAAATTAAGACCAGGATCATCTCTCTCAATAACATGATAGCCAAGATTAAGAGAGTGCCCTTTATTGGCGAGGTAATCTGCTGACTTGTTTCCTTCGCGGAAGGTGTGAGAGATCTCTATCTCCCATTCTTGATTAATAAGATCCTGCAGTTGAGACCAAAGGTTATGGTACCGACCTCCATATGTTGTACGAGAACTCATAATGCTGATTGCGGTCTTAGAGTCTGTCCGCATCTGGACTTTCCGGTGGCCAAGCTGCCAAGCGAGTTTGAGGCCATGTATCGCCCCCATCAGCTCCGCTCTCGTAATGGTACAGGCTCCCAGATTGGATGCAAAAGCACCCAGGCATCTGCCCAGGCTATCCCGAAGAAGGCCCCCTGCAGCTGCCGAGGAATCTGGTCGCTTGACTGATCCGTCCGTGTTGAGCGCGATCCAATCTGAAGGGGGAGGGTTCCAAGCAATTTCAGTCGCCGTCCTTGTGTGTTGTGTCATAAGGATTTTGTCATTGCTTTCTTGAGCGTTTCAGACAGTGCTGGTCCAGCTCCTAATTCTCTGAACGAGGGTAGCGGTATCTTGCTGCTTTCGGTCAAAAACCCATTCGTTCCTTCTTTTCCAGAGGTACCACGCGCCAACTCCAAAGAGCAGCCCAGTTTGAGGATTCTTCAGATGCTCCCCCATCCAATCTGCAAGGTTGAGGCCGATAGTTAGACTATTGTCGGAAATCCCGAGATCATGCCATACCTGGGTAGTATATGGGCAGTGCCGGAGAATGTGTTCTGTCGATTCCGGGGCTGCTTTACAAAGATCACAAGTATCATGTTGACATATTTTCCTTCTCTTCCTCTCGCACTTCGTCATCAAACGGTCATGGAAAGCAAGCCACAAGAAATGTCGTATGCGATGAGGACCATTCCATTTCCAAATTTGTTTCCAATTGGGGCTAGTTTGGGTTGGGTCGGCTTCATTATCATCCTTGCGGAACCACTCCGCAGCAATGGTATAGGCTGACTTTATCCGAAACTTCCCGTCGGCATCCAAACCCCACGTCGTCAAGTCTTCTCCAGCGTCCCGGCTTGGCGGGTCGGTACCTGCAATCAGCCGGACAATAGAGTTAGGGAGGAAATTTTGGAAGATTGGCCAATTCCACTCACCTGAGGTGTCCACCATTTCAGCCACAGATGCGCTCCAGTCCGTAATGGGGCATTGATCGTTCACATAATCCCTCAGGATCACACCATCCGCCACCCAAGCATCCAGCCAGAACTTCACACCCTCCCCATTTCGGATATCCCAAATGCTTCCCTGCTTCATAAGAGGAAAAGCTTCCAGCATCCCTTTCCACAATCTCGAGACGCGCTGACTCCTCATAGAAACAGTACCATCATCATTAGTTCTGATATACTTGCCCTGCAAAATTCTAATCCATAAAGCACTGCTGTCATTAATAAAATTCCAGCAAAGCTTCATAATATAGGCCAGATTAAGGGCACGGGCTGAACGAAGGCCTAAACCCCCCTCTTCTTTTGATTTACAGACAGTCTCCCATGTCACAAGGTGGGTTCTAGTGCGCCCTTCCTCTGCACCCCAAACAAAGCTCCGGATCTTTTTATCAATCACATCACAAATATGGCAAGGCAAGACTGCAGTTTGCATCACATAGTTAGGAAGCGCGTTCAGGACCGACAAGGCTAGAGTAACCCGCCCTGCGAGAGAGAGACTCCGAGCTTTCCATCCTGAGAGTCTCTTATCCAGGTTTTCCAGAATGTACTTGTAGGTGTCCTTCGTGACACGCCCGTGCACAACTGGAACCCCCAAATATCGCCCCAGGTTGCTCGTCTGCTTAATTCCTAGCAGCCTGCTTATTCTTCTCTTAGTGTGGTCCCTGGTGTTCTTGGAGAAGTAAACGCAGGACTTGTCCTTGCTGACTTCTTCCCCAGATGCAGCACAAAACTTATCCAGGCAATCCATGATGGCTTTCCCCTGTTTCATATCTGCCTCGGCAAAGAGCACTAGATCATCTGCAAAAAAGAGGTGGGTGAGGGTCGGTCCCTGTTGAGATAAACAGATAGGTTTCCAGAGGCCATTATCAACCGACTCTTTGATACAGTGATTTAAACGCTCAATGCAAAGAGTAAAGAGGTAAGGGGAGAGAGGACATCCCTGTCTGATTCCGCGAGTAGGCTTGAAAGACTCCGTGCAGCTTCCATTCCATAGAACTTGGAAGCTGGAAGTAGTTACACAGCCCATAACCAGATTAATGAAGTCCCTCGGGAGGCCGGCAGCTTCAAGGGTGGAACGCAGGAACTCCCAATTGATCCTATCGTAGGCATTTGCCAAGTCGATCTTCAATACCATATTGCCCCGCGCACCCTTCAGCTGGTTGAGAGAGTGAACCACTTCCTGGTTGAGAGAGTGATCCTATCGTAGGCACCATCATTAGACTAGTTTCAACCCGCGGATACCCAGCGGGTTGGGTTTGAGTTTTTCAAACCCAGCGAGTTTTATCCCGGGTTTTTTTGACGGATAAACCCATGGGTTTGGGTTTGAGAAAACCCGCCCCAACCCGACCCATTGCCATTCCTACTTGTCTCAACAAAACAAAGCATAAATACTTCAAACAACTTTGAAGTTAAAGAAGGAAATATAGGACAAGAAAACTAACTTCCGAATAATGGTAACGTGTATCTTGACAGTTTCACTACAATCCGAACTATTTTTAAAAAATGTCATTTCTCTTTCAAATTATATAATATGACAATTCTAGCACCAAATATTTTTTCGTTAGTATTGACCGACGTTGACCGTTAGTATTAACGAAAAATTTAATCAATGTTGATGTAACATATGACATGAAATTATATGCCCATTTTTATTTATTTTTCCATTTCACTTAATAAAATAATTATAATCAAATGAAAAAAACGGGGGGCTCCAGTTTGAGCCTCTACATATTTGCATAAAATTTTGTGACTCAATATATATTATTCATATTAAATGTCTATATAAAATTATTAAGATAAACCATTTTTCATAACTTGTTTAACCGAATCTGGCAGCAAACTTTATTTCATGGTTCAAATAGTATAATTGTATGATTCTTGCCTGTTTTTTCTTATATGTTTGCAGGCGAAAGAAGAACAGAAAAGGGGAAATAAGTAAGTAGGTTGATATAATGATATACGTACATGTCAAAGAAAATCTGGAGACGAGCATCAAGATCCTGTTTGGTCATGTCCTCCCAAAACACCTTCAATTGATCTTTCGTTATCCCGCCGGCCGTCGGTATGAACTTCCGCCTCGCAATCGCCTCGAACAGCTCCGACGCAAATTCCGTCGAATCCGCCATTCCTATCAACAATCACGCAAGCATGCATGCATGCATGCATTATTAATCAATCAACGTAGAAAAATGATGTAATCCACAAAACGACGAAACGAAAGAATTAATTATTATATTCAATTAATAATCACCAATGCAGGCGGCGAAGTGCTCCTTAGCCAGCCTCCCATCAACGGCATACTGATCAAACCGCCGCTCGATCGCCCGCCAAGCATCCGTCTCCCTTCCGGTCGTCGTCCGGTCGAGAAACCTCAGCGACTGGAGCCCTCTCGCGGCGGACGACGCCGTTCTCTGCACCCGCTGCTGCCTCCCGGAGGCCGGCGGGGTCTTGCCCCCGCCGCCGGGCAGGATCCCCGCCGTCTTCTTCAGCGCGCTGCTGGTCGTCCTCCTGAACGAAATCCCGAAGTTTCCGAAGTTGCTCGTCGTCCTCCGGAGCGACTCCCCGAAATTGCTCGCCGTCCGCCCGAGGCCGCCGCCGCCAGCGGCGGAGGGCTTGCCCAGGTCCACGGACATCCTCGGCATGTTCGGCTTGCTCGGCGGCGTGCTGTCGTTGATGGGCACGTCGGCCATCTTGTCGATCTCCACGCTGTCGAGACCCATCCCCGGCGAGGACAGCGACGACGGTCGCCGTTCTTTCTTACTCGCTGCGGATGCCATTAGAGAGAGAGAGAGAGAGAGAAGAGAGAGACAAGGAAGAAACCCTTTTTTTTGTATATGTTAAGGAGAGAGAGTGAGCGAGGTACGCAAATGATTTAGCACCCTCGCAATTCGGCTTTGGTGATGATCCGAACGTTGTGGGGAAAGGTGGCTGCTTATAATTAACTGCTGGATGAATTGCCAATTTCTTTTATTATTAATATTATTATGTATTTTAAGGTTAAAAAGGACCTAAATTATTATCTGTCTATGTTTGTGTTTAAGGACAAACAGTAAGTTGAAGTCTAGATTACAGGGTTCGTCTAAATATACGTTCTGTTTCATAGATCAATGCGGAGTTGCAGACCAATACGTATGTGAGTTCAACCCCTTACACATGGTTTGTTTTTTCTTTCCTTTTTACCGATCCATGCACGTGGTTTGTTCAATTCTTACCCTCTTTTTCAATAGATATATGGTCGTGATGTAAGAAAGTGATGATAGAACTTGGGTAATAACTCGAGTTATTGAAATCTAATGATTAATGATATATAAGTTTAGAGCTCATTTGATTGTGACAATTCAAATTTTCATGAATACATGGTATGATTATTATGTGCATCCAAATCAATGAGTTGGATTCCGTTTGTGTAAGAAGATCTGGTTAAAATACATACATGGATCTCTCCCAAGAACTCGAGTGTGTTGAGGCGGAGTGCTTTATGATAATTAAGTTAAAATATCATTCGGGAAGGAGAAAAATAAGATTTTTTTCAAGAAATCAATGAGACTCAGATATATGATTTTCAAAATAAGAGATGCATAAATTAAATCGTTGGAATTTTTAACGTGATATTTTAAATGTGATACTTGTCTACGATGATGATTAAATCTGTCTTTTTTGTGTGTGTATATTTTGGATTTGAGGGTTTCTGTAAATCATTATACCGTTTATTTCTACACACCTACGGGTTATTTCTACACAATAAACAAAAGCCAAATGAGAAAACTTGAAGCTCCATTTCAAATTTCCTGCATCCAGAGTGAAAGTAGGTGTAACACCTTAGGCAAATCCCACATCGACAAAGCACGGGAGAGATCCATGGTTCATAAGTAGGAAACCGGCTTTAACTGACAAGACGCGTTTTGGGGTGTAATGGAGGAGTTCTTCTGAGAACTCCGAAGTTAAACGTGCTCAGTGTGGAGTACAACAAGGATGGGTGACCTTATGAGAAGTCACCTTGAATTGCTAATGGAGGAGTTCTTCTGAGAACTCCGAAGTTAAACGTGCTCAGTGTGGAGTACAACAAGGATGAGTGACCTTATGGGAAGTCACCTTGAATTGCACCCCAAGTCAAAAACCGTGAGGGTCGAGGCCCAAAGCGGACAATATCTTCGCTGGGAAAAGGTTCGGGATGTTACAAGTGGTATCAGAGCCTCTTCGCGTCCCTCTTGAACGATGGTGGGGCAAACCTCAACGAGGGCGTTGAGTCCCGGGGGGGGGGGGGGTGTATTTAACACCTTAGGAAAATCCCACATCGACAAAGCACGGGAGAGATCCATGGTTCATAAGTAGGAAACCGGCCTTAACTGACAAGACGCGTTTTGGGGTGTAATGGAGGAGTTCTTATGAGCAATGCAGTCAAAATCGGGATTTTGATCGTAAAATCGTAGGATTTTAGGATTTTACTTAGGGATTCCGATCCTGATTTTACTATAAAATCGATGGACCTTAAAATCGTTCAAAACCGGGATTAAAATCGTAAAATCGTACCAAAATCGGGATTTTGATCCTATGAGAACAAAATAGGGATCTTGAGCCTATTCAAAAAAAGCAGAATTGTTTCGGTGGAAAGGGCAATGACGGGGATCTTCTCATATATTTTTCCTATTAAAAGAACATTTGAAAAGATGGGGGAAAAAAAGTAATTAGGGTTCGGTCAACCCCTTTCCCTTCTCCTTGTTTAACTCATCGGTAAAACAATTGTCAGAATATTGTTAGTGCGTAAGAATTAACATCATTATTAACAAATTATTTTATTAATGAATATATTTGTACCAAACCAATGACATTAATTATTTTATTGGATTTCAGTTATTCTTAGTTTTAAATCATGCTTAGTAGACGATGTCGGAATACTACTTTGAGTTAAACTACCTAGACACAACATGAAAAACAAGAGCCAAACCCCATGAGCTCTATCCCTTCCTCATCAATTATTTTGAGTTACACATTAAATAACAATTAAAATAATGATTTTGGAACATTAATCTTGAAAATTATCACTTTAAATGTTATAAGTCTTTGTGTTATTAATTATTTACCTTATTAATATTATCATATTTTAATTTCTATATGGTACTTAAAATCCTACGATTTTACGATTTCGATTTTACCCCAGTTTTCGATTTTAGGTAAAATCCCGATTTTAACTGCTTTGCTTCTGAAAACTCCGAAGTTAAACGTGCTCAGTGTGGAGTACAACAAGAATGGGTGACCTTATGGGAAGTCACCTTTAATTGCACCCCAAGTCAAAAATCGTGAGGGTCGAGGCCAAAGCAGACAATATCTTCGTCGGGAAAAGGTTCGGGATGTTCCAGTAGGAAGGACATTTTGGTCTTCACAATTACTTTTTTCTATTCTTGAAAAAGACACTTACTAGGATTCGAACCATGACCACTTTAAAGAAAAGCAAAGATCATAACCAATCACACTAAGTACATTTGTTGTATCTTTTTAAATTAAAAACATATAATCGCAGAGAGGAAAAAACCATTTCCCCATTTCAAATTCCCTGCTCCAGGCGCGTTTGTCGGAAGGGTAGAATAGGGAGTGTCAATTTTTTTATTTTTCCTTTGTGGAACGGGCCAACTTACCGTACACATGCGGATTTAAACGGGTCTAAGAGTGTCAATTTTTTTAAGCCATTTTATTTCTCCGTGGTGGTAAAATATATATGAAAAGGAAAAAACAATACACATTTTTATTGCTAAAAAGAAAAAAAATTAACAATAAACTAATGCATGAATTCTAATGGGCTAACCGCTAATCATAAAATAAAAGAGTTGAATTGGCCTGAGCTACACGGGATTTGCCCATCAAGTAAAACAAATGAACATCATGGGTTTGCCATTCTAAAACAAGCTATTTTCTCTAACATAATATATATTATGCTATTATTTCATATCTTAGTGGCTAAAATATAATGTATTTTAAAGTTATTCAATGGTTCAACCTCGACCAACCCAATTAGTCCAATTTTTATCATTTCAAATATATATTATGTAATTATTTGATATCATAATGATTAAATTATATTGTATATTATAGGGAATCGTTTGGTATTTGTTAGTAAAAAACTAAATAGAAATATCTATTTGGTTATTTTTAACATTATAACGATCCTAAATATTTTCAGTTTCCTTTCAAAAATCCAAATTAGAAGGTTTAAAAGTAAAGAATAATTAGAGTTTGACATGGGTCGGTCAAACGGGCTGAATTTCAAGTTTTGGCCCGTTTTGATCAAGTCTAATTTATAATCACATGGTTCCCTGATACCCGATAAAAATCTCAATCCAAACCAGTTTAGCAGGTGAATCCGTGTTTACCTCCATTTTCTAGGGATACAGGAACGGTGGTTCCTATCCCAAATCGTGTTGTTCATTCTTGATTTCTTTAGATTTTATCATGGCTTGGCAAAAAACCAGAAAGCACAATGATGACAAGATGAAAGTTTTATAAAGCAAATTAATCGGCCAACGGGCCGAGTAAAAGCTAGCAACGATTGTGAGATGCTCATTTCCCGAAACCCGACAGGATAGGCGACTATTTATTCGATTTTCTGGAATTCGGTTTCTATAAAACTTATTCCACCTCATCATATTACCAGAAACAATATTGTTTGACAATGTAACAGGTACTTGATTTTGGTTCATAAGGCTGATTTTTTATTTGATGCATCATTCATGTTTCTTTCCTACTAAAATTCACTATTTTTATCACGCGTTTCCACAAAAAAAACTATACAACAATAAGTTATACACCCCATTACATTATTAAATTTCATACCTCAACTTCCTCCGGCCAAATGGTCGGGGCCCATGCTAGTATATAATGATACACATAACTAATAGCATCTCTCAAAGCTTCAACAATAAAAAAAATAGCAGCTCTCAAATTGATTTTGGTTTCTCCGCAATTTGAAAGATAGGTACCAATATCTACTCGACCCTCCAGCCTTAATTAACACATATGTTGTCTCGTCTTTTGTTTCCTCGTATAGAAGCTAAATTGTTCCTTCCGCCACCAACTGACTAATATAATGTACTAGCGAAATCTCGCTTGCTATCGCTTCGCGTATCAGAAAAATAAATATTTTAAAGAGTAATAATTTTAATGTTGACCCAAAGGTGAAAGTATATGATTTGTTATTTACAATAGCATATGATCGATGAACTTGCATAAGGTAGAAGGGTCATCGAATATATTATTTATGTTTAAACTTCTTTCATGACGCTATTGTTTCAAATTGTATGGCTACTGGCTAGTAGTTGATCCTGCTGTAACTTTTGTAGAATGAAGCAGCTTCTCTAGATCTTTTCAAGAAGTATTAAAAAAAAATTGAGTGTTTAGGTTAAAATTTATCATAATTACTTTCTAATATAAGAGGTAGTGTAAAATGACTAAAAATATTTCAAACATAGAATATGAATACAATTTCTAAAAATTAAAAAGTACTTAAAATGGATCACGTTAGATTTATTTTATATTAAATTATATTAGTGTTCAATTTATTTTTTTATAGTGATATAAATGAAAGAAATTTATGTTTTCTAGAAAAAGAATAATGTATTTTCAAATCGAAACTTCTGCTTTGAAGTCACGAAAAGTTTCAACTTTTGAAAAATCGAAACTGTAGAGGTGTTTGGCTTGACTTCAACTTTTGAAACATAAACTTCTAAAATTCGGTCCAAACATAATTGTACTCTTTTGGCTTTCTTTTTTTGGGTTCGAGGTGA